AAACGTTGACTGACATGATATATAATTTAATGTAGACAGGACAGTGCAACAAGACGAATCTCAAACGATTTTCTAGGTTATTAAGTGTAATATAAAACAAGTTAATAAAATTTATACATTCGTTTGAACTGATAATTCCAGATCGTTTTTCTTGGTCGAGAAAACTAAGACGTGACCTAAATAATTAGAAAAAGGAACGTACAAGAACAAAAGAGGTTTATTACGCACTCTTTAATATTCTCCGCTATTGCTTGCTTGTCTATGACTTCTTGTTCTCTGTTTCAAGAAAGACTGAAACGAAAGATATAGTTGCTATCATACTTCTTTTTAATATTATAGATGGATGGATGTTTTTAGAAGGTATCCCCAGAAAGACTGCATGGATCTTACTTAAATTTGACATGATGTAGTACATAGCCCGGAAGAAAACATAGGCTACTGTAATATCCGAGTATTTGGAGGGTTTTATGGCTCACCAACACCCCGTACCACACAACCGCCTCGTTCCCTGTCACAACTGACATGACTTTGTCGCTTAAAACAAGCAAGACTATAGCCAGTATAGTACAGTTGCTAAGTTTATTTTAATAACGCGCGGAAGGAGTTTTGTTCGACAGCTATTCGTACCATAATTCATAAACCAAGATAGTGCGTTCATTAAATGTCATAGGTTCGATATTACCCTGAAAGTTTTAATGATAATTGATTATACGAACCCTTAAAACATTAGACAACCCCGTCCCTATAATTAAAGCACTTAACATTATAGTGACCGTACATTATTTTGGTATATCGCGTAAATTGGTAATTTTCTCACGTGATGTTTAATTGGTACGGACCACGGACACCTGCGGTCACGTACCGGAACAAAGTATTGGTACGAATGCACCTTAGTATCGTGTTAGTTTACAAGTGACCAGTTACCGTTATATTAATGTGATATATTTTTAAAGTAAGGGTAGGTTTTTATTGTAGTTAGTAGCCTTAGTAAATATAAATCGTATTTACAATATTAAATTTAATGATGGTCTTACGTTAAATGGAGGTTAGTTGGTTGTTTACGAATTTAAAACACTTAAAACTTATTTGAATAACTATTTTAGCAACCTACAGGTCCTTTTTTAATAAATAACCTTAAATAATAGAATGATTTGATAGAATTCTACTAAATGTAAAAATTTATTTTTAAAAATTCAAAGAAAGCAGTATCATTTTTTCACAATCCTCTGTAACAGGCCTGTATTTTTTTCAAAGATATGGTGCCAACAATTTCGATGTTATTACCGTGTGCTAAGCTCTTACATTATTAAAATAAATAAAGGCAGGTTAAATGTTACGTAACACCTGTTGTGACGTATAATTAGGAATTCGTAAAAACTTTTCCTTGCAACGTAAACACCGACGGACAAAGAGAATACTATGGTGTTCAAACTATTCAAATACTAACTATCGTCCGCGGTACCGTCCGCGTTGAATTTAAAAAATAATAATAAGTAGCCTATAAGTTCTTACAGACTATTTTCTACATCTATCCCAAATTTCAGCAAGATCCGTTAAGCCATTCTGGAGATATCTTCAAACAAACATCCATCCATCCATCTAAAAATTCGCATATATAATATTAGTAAGAACTAAGATATATCTGAGCTTTAGTTAATATTAAGATGAACTAATTAATATAGGTACATTTAACACTAATTAATTTAATTATTCGTTGCCGGCACCGGCTAGTTAAGGAACCCATCCGGACTCCGTCTTCACGACAAGTGTTTAATTCTCTAACATAATGTAGATTCTTAGTACGTCAAAAAAGTTTGAGCACCACTGGTCTACAGTTATTTCCATAGCAGGTGTGTAACATAAACACAAGTAAACGGTATATTTGTATTCTATTATTTTTTGCGTGCTAAAATACACCCCTTAATGAATCTTAATTTCTTATCCTGTTTTCCTAATTCTAAAAAATAATTTTAAAATTTTTACTTTATAAGGATCATTAGTAGATTTATGAAAACTTAACAAAACTCTTATAAATATTATTATAAAAATATTGCTTTCCCTCATTTTCTTTAAAAATGTCAGGATAAAATTGCAAAGAAGGAGGATGTAAAATGAGAGTTATTTACAACTAGCTGTAGCTCGCGACGCCGTTCGTACATTTATAAAAAAACTTAATCTATAGTCTATGTATTCTTCCAGGCTATCCATTCAACCGTTCTGATTATAACTTCTAACAAACATCTATCCATCCATCCAAACATTCGCATTTATAATATTAGTCGCAAGTAAAATGGAAAAGAGAGAAGTGTACTTTTTATGTATTTTATTTATGGAATAACGTTCTTTTAATTTTTTGAAAATTTATCGTCTTTTTTTTAGTAAAACCGTTGTCAGTTCATTATATTGCGTCACGGTTATATTAAATTCGCGTTACATTTCGTTCCGGAGACGATCTTTACCGTTTTTACTCATTGAAAACTATTTCCTATATTGTCTTGATGTTTATAACTTATACATTGTCTACTTCAAGTGCGGTTTAGCGTGAATACAGCAAATAGAATATTTAACACGACTGACGAAAAAATTATCTTAAATCATAAAAACAAAGATAAAATCAAACAAAAAATAAAAAAGTATTTGTGAAGTTCTTCCGCAAACTACAGTTTTCTATATTTTTGTTTGTCTAACTACATAACGATTGAAGTTTTTGTAGTTTTTTCCAACTGAACACTTTGATATCTACTATAACAAAAGTTTGAATAAATTGTTTTACAGTTTCTTTTGTTCGCCGCTAGGGGGAACTTTTTAGCGTTTATAGCTAATTCAAATACGTATATTTTTCTTGGTTAGTTAGTCGTACAACTGTAGATATAGGTTTAAAAATACCCAACTGCATACTATGAGTTTTGAATAATTACATAGTGGTCGAGAATTTAAAAAATGTTTTTAGTCATACATTTTTGACATAATATTATTGTTTATAAAGATATAATAAGCTATTTAATTTATTAACATTGCAACAGAAAAAATAGTTTTCTCTGGTATACTTCTTTTCAAATATCTTGACGGCTCAAGGTAGTCAGTACACTGCGAAGTGCCCCCCACCCGCATTCTACGCCCCGTTACACTTAACATTATGTTATATGCAGCGACTCGCAAGAGCCAACAAGATATCTGAAAATTACTATACCCTGACGATGACTGATGACTACTTGAAGTTTAAAAAATACTTAACCCAATTTAAAAATATTTTACGATCTCAACAAGAAGTCACATACAATAAGAAGTCAAGTTGAGGTTGGTTAATCTAGCAGTAAAATATTTTATAGCTTATTTTATTACCGGTATAGTTAGGGTTGTATAATTAAAACATTTTGTTATTCTTTATTGGAATTACTTATTGTTAAATAAACATCTAATTGTTATGATGTTGACAAAGAATGAAACGTATTGTCGTACTTCAGAGCGTTTATAATATGCGAACGTTTGGATGGATGGATGTTACAAGTTATCTCCAGAACGGCTCAACACATCTCGATGAAATTTGTCTAACATATAGAACATAGTCTGGAAGAACACATAAGCTACTTATTAGGTTTCTATTTAATTTCGCGCGTACGTAGTCGCGGGCGATAGCTAGTATTGTAACAAGAGGACATAGGGTCACACTAGTCGTTGTATTTTACGCTTAAGTTTAAGTATTAATTCGGATTTGAGCGTTACAATTGGTTGCCATTGTAAACTTAATTTTAAATATTGGAAAGCGTTACTCGACATTTAAAATCATCTCCAATCCGTTATATTTCACTTGCCGTAAACTAAACGGTCGAGTAAATAGTTTTAATTACTTACGGTTCATAATGTTTTACAAGTTGAGCAAATTGTTTAATAACAGCCAAGTGTATCAAGCCCACTGACCAAGATACGGTATGTTACCGTTAGATTGTGTAACTCGCCCAAATGAAATTTGACAAAATGTAATAAATTGACTAATTGCATAACAATTCACAAAGTGACGGAATTCCGACGCATTGTAAAAAGTAATTTGTCTATGCAAAGATTCACCGTTATGTACGTTATAATTTTCAAAAGTTGGTTAATTTAAAGGTACTTACCGAATACATTTTTATAAAGTTTATTTTTTAATGCAATTTATGATTGAGTTCGTTCGATATTCTATTTGTAGATACTTCAACTTTCCAGGGTACATAAGAAACTGACAGTATTCAAAATTTGTCAGTGACAAGTCTACCGCTACGGAACAGCTAACGGATTCCCAATGACTTGAGAGTTTTGATACTTTTCTCTTAGCAATGCTTTACTATTAACAACTGTATGAAATTTATACGTCTTGATACTTTCACTTTTGTAACCGTATGCCTAAAATGAAAGGCTATCTTAATATTTCATGGAAGACTATCGATATTAACTTAGCACTTTTAATTATTTTTATTAGAAGTTCCAGTATCAAGTAAACCACCGAGATATTGTTTGTATTATTTTACTTTTTACTATGTATTATGGCTAACATCTAATTAAAGTAAATGTTAAAAAAATCTTATAATTATTACCAACTTTTTACTTTTGACTTTTTTTAATATTAAGATAAAAACTTAAGAGGACTGTCGTAAAAAAAAACGAATCAGTGACTCATCCAATACTATGAATAACATATTTAATATCGATATAAATATATTATACGCGTATTAAAAGGGGTAAAAGATACTTTAAGTAAAAGGAAGCTGCAAATCTTTTATAGATATTCTTATCAGAAGATCGTCTTGCAACCGATAAGGCGCCAAAACAAAACAACAAAAAAAAACAACCCTAAGGTATACGCGGTCGTTTTCTTACAATACTTCGTACATCCCTTTCACACCTGTACGTAAATATGTGTGCAAGAACGAGACGAAATGTGTATAGCAAATGACAGTCCCCAGGTAAGTTCCATGCATGAATTTATTTGGACACGAGCTTTTCGCGCGAAAGCACGTCCGCGTTCGGTTGTTCGATTTGTCCGGTTTACTTTAAAAAGTGTTTGAAGAATTTTATTTTTGAATTTCGAACTGATTGTGAAAACTTTGGAATAAATTAAATTTTATTTTTAAATTTTATAAAAAAGACACGTGTTGATATGTGCGTTGTGCGACAGTTGGATTTTAAAAGTGACATCTTGAAGATCCTTTTGTGTAGGGATATCCTTTGAAAAAGGACACAAGCGGTAAGGTTATTGTAAGATTTTATTATAACATATGGCAAGGGAATTTTCTGTTACAAAGTATTGAAAAAAAAACAAATATTTTTTTTCAAACTTCATAGTTTATCTAAATATTCTTACATAAATCTATTTTACATAAAATCATCGTAAAATAATGTTAAGAATACTGGCCATATTTAAAAATGTGGCCACACTTTTACAATAAAAAATAAAAAAAACATTTAAAGTGTTCTATTCTATATTTGAATAGGATATTTGTGTTTACTTACGAGTTTGGCGCGTAAAATCCAGGTAGAAGCATGAAGATTGGAGCGGGTTGGAGGTTTAGTTTTTTTAATCATAAATTCCGACCTTCATTTATAACAGTCATTTATACATTAGTATAAACAGTCAGGTATTTGATACTATAGCCTTCTTTTAGATAAGTTATCATTAGTTTTAAGATTGATGGATTAAAGACTTTAACTGGGTTGAATTAAAGTCGACTTTATACCACCAAAGTTAATGTAAAATAACTTTATTTTATTGTCCGAATTATATGGTTTTAATATATTGTTGTCGTTTTAATTCACCGATAATATTATAAATATTTCAAGAGGTACAATAGTTAAGTTCAAATTATTATATTTTTTAAATAATAACCTGTGTATTTTGAATATCTTCATTTGTAGATAGCGTAATTAAGAAACGGATTGAGTCTCATAAATTCACGCTTAATACCGCAATTATCTTTTCAATAATATAGATGGCGCTAGCAGTTTGCTGTTTTATTAATCACTGTTTTTAGTATTTAATTATTAGTTCTTTTTTAAATTTCATGTTTTTGATTATCATCAGAATCGACAATGATTGCGTTTTTATATATTTAGCGTAACGTTATATAACGCAGTAAGAATCATATGATTTCAAGAAGAGTCTAGAAGAGCTTATATTTAGCTACTAGCTGTAGCACGCGACTCTGTCTGCGCGGTATTATTAAAAAAATAGCCTATGTGTTCCAATACTATGTTCTACATCTGTAATCTGTAAATCTGTAAAAAATGGTAGTAGCCGGTTTTCAGACTTATTGAATATGATAGAATATTGTGACACGAGGATTTTATATATATGAATACTAGCTGTCGCCCGCGACTCCGTCCGCGTGGATATAAAAAAAAACTTAATTAGTGTAGCCCACCCATCCATTCATCCACATCACATCCATCTAAACATTCGCATTTATAATATTAGTAGGTTAAATAAAAATAAGCTATTTAAGGCATAAATTCGAATAAAAAAATAGTATCCTATGTCCGTCTCCTGGCTCTTAGCTATCTCCTCGCCAATTTTCAACCATATAGGTAAAGCTGTTCTTGAGTTATAAATAGTGTAACTAACACGACTTTCTTTTATATATATATAAGATATATATTTATAAAAAAAATGTTTTATACATCATATAGTCTTACTCGGACATACATTATACTGATTGTATAAAAGTCAATTCAAATTTAATGAATAAAAAAAATAAGGGCCCTTACACACTCACTTGAGGAAACAACAATAAAACAAAGAGTCATAACAACCACTTCTCACGCTCACTTATATCAGCTTACCTTCAAGGGTCAGTAATTCCATTAATTAGCGATAGACAGAGACAAACAATTATTTTCAACGTCTACAAGAAAGAGTGAGCAGAGTAAATAGATTATTACACACCCTTACAGTTTAGCGGAGCGTACACGGATTTTTTTTGCACGTTTTTTTCTTTCAGTCTGTGAACGGCTTTTACAGTCTGTTGCATTCTCTATTGATGGAAATTAAAAAATATAATTATTGTTTTAAAAATGTAGTTAACATTTGTAATGGACATAAACTTTGTAGCTTACAATTTTAGAAAATCAGATTCAAAGTTGAAATTCAAAGTCTCTAATCAGTCCGTTATACTTAAAAAGCTTGATATTTTCCTCAGATTCAGGATTTCACAGTTTCATCACTAATACACATCGAAAAACATGATTTGAAACATGTCAAAGAATTCTTCCAAGAAATTATTAGTGATTTTCTAATATTTTTTTATATCATAAGGTGGCAAACGAGCAAGCGAATTGAAATCGCTGAAATAGCGAAGCGACCGTTGCCCATAGACATACGCAATTGCATATGCATTGCCTACCTTTAATCGCCGAGGAGGGGATGCACGGAAAAAAAATATATATTCTCTTTCCACGCATCCTCTCATCCTGAATGTCCACTTCCACTTCCCATCCTTTCCTTATGAGAAAAAGTGTGGGAAGGGAAAGTGGACAAAATAGGCCTCCGGGACGCACACTCATCAGACGAAACGCGGAATTGCTTCCACTTGACGCGTGTCTTCTGTGTGGTCGTGGTATTTCGCCGGGCGAGCCGGCTCGATTCGTGCCAAGATGTTATAGCGGGCTCTACCACTGTAAGAGATTACTAGACAACACAATGACAAGCCCTTAACGATAGAATAAAAAAAAATTAAACAAATCGTTATTTTAATGACAACATGTACACACTTAAGTCTTCCTTATGACGTCATGCGAATCATAAAAATGTCTTCCCACTGCATTGTTATTGAAATTTATGTGTTTAGAATTTTAAACCAGGAGTGCGTATTTAATTAAAATGGGGTACCCTTTTTTGTTTCGTCTTAACCAAGGATCAATTTTTAATTCTTTTACAACTCACGAGGATTTTAAATCTAGCAAAAAATTAAAATTACTTTAGCCTGAGGCAAATTTAATTTTTGAGATTTCTTTTTTGCTTGCGTTTTTTTTTACAGGTGCTGTAAAAAGCATTTCTTTCATTCGGCATAAGATTTTAATAAATTCCAATAACTTAGTGAAGATTTTTTTCTTTTCTTTTATAAGGCCAGTTATAAAAAAGTTTTTATCGTTCTCACGAAAAGGTACCCTTACGTTTTGATAACAAGTGAAGGTTGGAATAAAAAATATGTCAAGATATTGTAACAAAATGCGCAGTAAAAGGGGTTGAATCGAGTGCACCCAGGAACTAAATTAACTGATACCGATCGAACTTTTAAACCGTTGTTGCTCCACAAGACTCCATTAAGGAAAAATAACATCCGCGTGCTCTTTGTTATTGCGACATTGGATACTTAATTTTTTATGTTTTATTACTATAAGCATCTATGCAAGATTTAAAAAAAAAGGTGGTAATATTTTTTTTTTATTTATAAAGTATATTGAATATTTATAATTTTCTATCAATCTAATAGTACTATTATAGTTAGTTTAAAATTGTGCCACTTACAAAAAAGAGTTTATATGAAATTTTTATTTACTTTTCATTAACTCCGGTAACGATTTTTTTAAATGTTACAGGAAGTACCATAAAAAAATAAAAAAATCCAACCAAACTAACTTCCAGGAATCTTCCAAATCACCAAAACTGAATATCCATAGATAATAAAACTATCTAAAAAGCTATAACTTACGATCTGATATACGTTTTCAATGACACAAAATTATGCTACATGTCCCCAACCCCCAGGTGTCCGGCCCTGTAAATCACCCTGCTTGGCCTCCTGACCTTAGGGTTTTAAGGATTAGGGTACGATATTCCCAGGATATACGAGGTGGTAAAGTTAAATAGATAACACGCGTAATAAATATATCAATGTTCACTTTATATATTATATAAAAATGAACATTAAAAAAAATATTTTGTAAAAAAATCATGACATTTTTTTATACCAAATATGCTTTTAGTCTTCGACTAAGGCATCGGATGTTTCTTATTATCCCAGTATTTTTTTTTTAATATTAAAACTTGTTTTTCAAGTAGACAACAGACGAGACTACTTTTTGCAAATAATAAATTAAGAAAGGAACGAGGGCGAACGACAAAGTTTTGTTCACAATGCAAGTTAACAAAGGGGAGAAAACGAAGGAATTGAGTTTTAATATTGAACATTTATCGCATCAAAAGGGAACTAAAAAAATAAGTTTTTGATTTAAGTACGATAAGCAATCATCACTGTTTTTAATGCATTAACAGTAACCACTAAGGCTGATCTTTAGTGTAGGTTTCATATACCCTTTGTTAATTTTCACTAAGAGTCACCTTTAATGGTCATTAAACAACTGTAAGTGGGGTACAGAGATGTAGTAAATCATAATTTTAAGGAATTCAAATTAAAATTAATAAAATAAATATGTGACCCATAACTATGTCATTCAGTGATAACGTAACTTTTTAATAGTAAAAGAATTTTTGAATTGTCGCAGTAGTTTTTTTTTTATTTATAAAAAAATGTTGTATAAAAATTTGCATTAGTAGTGTTACTTGCCATCTGTGGGTCTATCACGAATATTTGCGACATAAATTTTCGTAACACATCGGCAAAATACATATCATTTGTATGAGAATTATCGTTATACTTTATTCCCGGCTAATACAAAATTAGAATAATATAGATGACGTTACTCTTTGGTTATAGGCCCTCTGATGTTCGATTTATAATTGCATTTTAAAACAAGAATAAGCTATTATATATATTATTTCTTTAACCAAAATACTTCATATTTTTTACGACTTCCGTGGCTATTTCTCTATCAGTTCCCACGTCGATGCTCCCGCGTTACTTTCCTTCACCTTAATGATATAATTCACAGATAGCGCAAACTAATTACAGATTAAAAATAATTGCCTTGTTACTCGACCATAGAGTTACTTTATTAATACAACCTCTTTGTTTAGTTTCACTCATTATCTTTCTAATGGGTGTTATAATTATGTACATTAAAATTTACTACATAATTTCATACTTTTACTGTAATAATACTTTTTGCTTGTAGATAAATATGTACAGACAAACAGTTCGTAATTTTAGTTCTTATTAATATTATAAATGCGAATGTTTAGATGGATGTTTGTTAGAAAGTATCTCCAGAACGAATACACGGGTCTCGATGAAATTTGGCATAGATGAAGAACATAGACTGGAAGAACACATCATCAGCTCACTATACGTC